CTGATGCAAATCAAGTTTAGACCGCGTCACAGATGTTACCAAAAAAGCACCAATTTCCGAAATTTTCGCAAAAATTCGATAACAACCGTGCGACAAAAACGATTACTCAAACGCGATGCATAAATAAGTGCGATTCACGCAAGTGTCCCGTATCTAATTCACCTTCATAAGCTTTATAGCGCCATTGTGCCGGAGCCTGGAGCTACCATTAATTTCGCTAATGGTTAATCAATAAACAAGCAAGTTTACCGGTGTTAAACTAGGCTGCGTGTACGTGTGCGTGGTACAAATTCGGTTGATGCATGACAACGGATAAAAGAGGGACAAATAAAGGTCTGTATAAAGCTTTCGTAGGCACTTAAGTAGGTAACGGAGGGAGAATAAGAAAATGGACACCTGTTCGGTGTTGTGCGTGTATACACGAGCACTGAATGGCCAGGAAAATGAGAGACGACCGAAAAAAGATGAACTGAAGAGCCGCGAACGAACAGGAAGAGAAATTATCGCGGAACAGACGCTATTTGTTATCAGTCCCAAGTAATATAATGGCTCATATGGTCGTTGATTGATGTTCCTACGCGATGCGTTCCGATCGTATTCATGAAATATAATAATCTTCAGGCGGTCTTTGTTGGTGGAATGAAACAAAGGAGATTGAAAGTGTTGATAGAAATTGAGAAAAAATTTGTGTTTCAAGTTGGAGTGATTGCTATGGGTAGACATGTGGTGGAGATTCTTGCTTTGAAGTTTATTAGGGATATAGGGATATGTGGATATAGGAACAGATACATACAGATACAGATATAGAGATATATGTAGAAATATAGAGATGTAGGGATATACAGAAATGTATATGATATAATGTAGAGATGCAAGATTTTATGAACATAGTCATCTAGGGATATAGAGATGCAAGGTTTGACGAATATAGAGATCTAGGGATATAGAGATACAAGGTTTTGCATAAAAATTTCCAAAATCCCAAAACTCTCAAGTTCTCAAAATTCCCAAAGTCCCAAAATTCTCAAGGTCCCAAATTCCCAAGGACCCCAAATTTTGAAGAACCCAGTATTTCCAAAGTCCCAAAATTCTCAAGGTCCCAAAATTCTCAGAGTCCCAAAATTGCCAAAGTCCCAAAACTCCCAAGTTCCCAAAATTCCCAAGATCCTAAAATTCTTAAGGTCCCAAAATTCCCAAGGGCCCAAAATTCTCAAGATCCCAAAATTCCCAAGGGCTCAAAATTCTTAAGGTCCCAAAATTCCCAGAATCCCAAAATTACCAAAGTCCCAAAACTCTCAAGTTCCCAAAATTCCCGAGGTCCTAAAATTCTTAAGGTCCCAAAATTCTCAAGATCCCAAAATTCCCAAGGGCTCAAAATTCTCAAGGTCCCAAAATTCCCAGAGTCCCAAAATTGCCAAAGTCCCAAAACTCCCAAGTTCCCAAAATTCCCAACGTCCTAAAATTCTTAAGGTCCAAAAATTCCCAAGGTCCCAAAATTCCCAAGATCCCAAAATTCCCATGAGCTCAAAATTCTCAAGGTCCCAAAATTCCTAAAGTCCCAAAATTCTTAAGGCCCCAAATTTTCCAAAGTCTCAAAACTCCCAAAATCCCATAGATCTCCAAAATCCCATAAATCCCAAAAACCCTGAAAATTCCAAAAATCTCAAATTTACAAATCCCCAAATTCCCAATCTCCCAAACCCAGTACAAATATCGCTTCCCCCCAAAATCCCCAGAACCGCATATTTGCACCAACCCCCAAAACTCTGCATCGATCACCACAAACAACCCCCAAACACTAGGAATTTTCCCCGAATTATTACAGTTTCCATAGCGATCACAAGCGATCTATTTACGAGTCCCTCTACCGTTTCTAATTGTATACGATCGTTCCATGAAAAGCGCGTCATTATCGCGACAGATTGGCCGTCAAGCCGGCGAGCGTATCCGCGTGAAGAATACAGTCGAGATTACAAATAGACACGTGAATGGATCGCGATCATAAGAGGTTTCCAAGGAGTCGTTGACATGAAGCAGTTATAAGTAGAATGACGCGTACGGTACACACTGTGTTACGCGAGGAGAATCGCTTATCGCGCGGAAGCAACCAGTGGTGCAGTTTCCACGTGGCCTTATGACAGCTACGTCTCGCTACGATTAATATCAGTCAGACGCGTACGTGCGAACACGATCGTCCTCGTAATATGCACGATATTCGTGTACGGATACTCCCTTGTCTCTTAATCGTTGCGTGTCGCGAGATAAGTGGATGGAATTGTTGAAATGCTAACGGATACCTCGACCGTGCGTGTTCACGGGTAGAGTATGTTCTTTTTTTGTGGAGACATCGTTAATTATTGATCGACTTGATTAGGGTGATGGGAGAGCTTCTTTTATACTTGTGTGGTGATTTTGTTTTTTATGGAAACTGATGTGGTTGCAATTCTACGGTGACTTTATAGTGATTGTATATTAATTCTATAGTTACCTTATAGTCAAGCTATAGTCACGTTATAGTCTTTATGCATGTATAGTAAGTCTATGGTTACTGTATGGAAATTCTATGATGACTTCATGTTGACTCAATGGTAACCTTATAGAGTACAGATTCTATAGTAATTCTGTAATAATTTTATAGTGATTTTACAGTCATTCTGTAGACATAGTGACTTTATAGTGATTCTATACTAATTTTATAGTGACTTCATAACATTCCATGGTGATTCTATAGTAACTCAATAAGTGACCCTATATTGATTTCACAGTAATTCTCTAGTAACTTGAAAATGATTCCATAATGATTCCATAGTGACTCCATAGCAATTTCATAGTGATTCTATAGTAACTCCATAGTGACCCTATATTGATTTCACAGTAATTCTCTAGTAATTTTAAACTGACTATATAAACATTCCATGGGGACTCCACAGTGACTCTATAGTAATTCCATGATTCTATAATGATTCTATAACAATCAAATTTTAAGTAAAATAAAAATAAACTTAATAATCAACCATTCCCACCCTCAAATATTAATAAAAACAAAACCATATGAACTCTTCGCAAAATCTAAAATATAATATTCTTAAAGTGTCCCAAAGTTTCCTAAAGTTTGATACACCCTTCTAAAAAATATAAAAGTGAAAATTCATTTAAATGTAATGAAGTGTAATGTAAAATAATGAGACGAGAATTTCCATATACATTTAATTGTATACGTATAAGTCTAAATGGATTTTAGTTGTTCTTTTGCATTTTGATTGATACGAAGCAATTATTGTTTTATTACACGTAAATACGGAATTTTACGATAAATTCTATTTAATATTTTATGTACAAAAAGTTGGATCAAATACGGTGCTGATTGTATCGAGTAAAAATACATTTCGCTGCGAGTACTGCTGACTTAAAAACAGCAGAAGATAAACATAACTTTTCCGCGTTAATTAAATGATCCGTCTGTTCAATATGCTGATATGAAATGTAACGATCTCTCGAGATTTAAATGTTCGATAAATCTTGTTTTGAATAATTTAAATGTACATTCGCGAATGAGTCTTTGACGATGATTGTTATGTTGAATACGTTCGTTTTTTGGGATATTGTATTTTAATACTTGAAGGGTGAGTCAAATATCTACCAGTAGAATTCAGATTTTTATTCGATTGAATATTGTAACTTCAGTCATATTCGTAATAATCGAAAGAATATCCTGCAACATTTCATTTTAAATTAATATGAAATTGAATGAAACAGATTCAATTAATATGTGAGTTTTGAAAGAACAATCACTTGCTGCACCGATATTAATATTCCACTGCAAATATTTATTTTAATAAATCTTGCCATTTCCATAAGAAAAGTGACAAAATAAGAAAATAAACCAACGTATTAAATCTTGTCATAAATTATGAAATTTTTTTGGCATAAATTTAAAATAATGAACCTAGTCGTGGCTATAATTCCTCTATTAAAAATCGGAGCGTTCAATCAATATTATATTACAAAGTCACTAGTACAAATTGAATTTTCAAATTATTATGAAGATTTAAAACAAGTGGGACGAAGTAATATATTTGATGTGTCATTTGGCTAATAAACAAAATAATGCAATTCAAGCACTCAAACTCATGGATAAATTAAACTCTCAGAACGTATCTCGAAAGGCACATGATCTGCTTTCTATGAGGTATAATTTACTCTTGTTTGCATGAAAATACTTTGAACTATTAATATTAATTAAAGGTACGATAATTACTTTCCTGTACAGAAATACACTTAACATCTACTTAATCACTTATGTAGAAACAGGTAATTATCCAGTCTGATGCACAGATGTGATTTCTTGTACACCTGTGTGATTAATGCAAACCAGTCTTAAAAATGATTCGAGTATCAAGTTAGAAAGTCTCAAAAAATAATAACCTACAGATAAACCTACATAACTCATATCCAATAATAATTTTTCAAAAATTATTCCAAAAATTGAAATTAATTCACCTCCTAAAAAGCTTTAAAAAAATATTTTTATACGCAAAAATTCACATTACTGGAATAACAGAAATTACCGTAAAACTAGAAATATCGTATAAAAACAACCGTAGTCAAATAGCGATAATTCATAATTCAACATACAACGTAATTCATAAAATTACAAGTCGGCTTAACTGCGAACGGTATTACTACGGTCGCACGAATCATCACTCATAGCTCCAATCCGCACGGACTTCGTACAAAACATCAAATACAAAGTACATCCTCCGTTATCCTCAAACAAAAAAATTGCGCACCGTATTGCGTATATCCCCCCTGTCACTGAATACGAATACACATTTCGTTACACACGAAACATCGTTCTATTCAAACGGAAGTTCAACTGTATTCTAAGAATATTGGCAAGCGACAAAGGAAGCACGTCTGCCGTCAAGAATTCCTAGCCACGAATCGAAGTCGAACTGCCACGCGAACTACGTTTTAACGTTAAAAAAAATGTCACTCACGTTTTATGACAGCAAGATTCTCGTGGACACAGTGCAGTTACAGTTTACCCCTTCGGAACACACTGTCTTCTCGAATCACGCGCGCAACGTGCAACTTCGCGTCATGACACCGGCACCAGAAACACTGATCGACGGAAACCGATCAAACTTGCCTTTCGCGCGATGGAAATGTTTAAACGAGCCTGTACGGTTTTCGCGCGTTAAGGCGAACGAGCATGGGTACGGCCAATCGACGAAGGCAATGCGTACCCCTCGCGACCCCGTGACGAACTGAGGATCACACTGACGGCGCAGCGCCACCGTGACCCGTGGTGGCACCGTAAACTAAACTCATACTCGTATATACCGCCTGTCGTGTGCCCGCACACGCGACCGCTACTGCATATCCCGACAACTTTCGTCAACTTTGTCTTTTGAGTTTTCAATTCAGCTGACGCGTATCGCTTGATCGTAAAACCGTTGACCGAGTAATTCGATGCCAAGGATATTTACCGGAGTGACTTTACTTATATTTGCACGAGGAGATTCAATCCGCAGGATACTTCCGTAAGTAACTGTTTTAAATATTAATATGGCGGAACCTTCTCGACTTTACGAATTTATGTTCTTTAATTTAACTTAACCTTAAATAGCACTTGGAATTGACGTAACAAAATTAGAAATCTGGTTTAGATTTTAAGAATAGAATTTTAAGAGAGGTTTTAAATAAGGAATAAAAGAAAGATTTATAAATATGGCGGAACTTTCTGGATTTTGCGAATTTATGTTTTTTAATTAAAGTTAAACATAAATAGTACTTGATGTAACAAAATTGGAAATTCGACTTGGATTTTAGAAATAGATTTTTGAGGAAGGTTTTGTAAAGATATAAATGAGGAATAAAGGAAAGATTTATAAAAATGTAAGACGAAAATTAAGATTCAAAGGTTAAGACATGGTTTTAAGACAAAGTTAAGACATGGCTTTCATGTTGATTCCTACATATGTTTTCTGTATATGTTGAAGTACATCATGATTTTATCTCGACTTGTTTTGAAAGGTACGTTGAGCGCGTTCGAAAGAACAGTCATAGAGTATTATGAAAATAGACGGCTCAGTTTCTGTTAATCTTTGACGCGTCTGCCATAGTGAATATTAACGTATGTAGTCAGACGTAAGGTGTCCACATACGTCATTTCGTCAGACAAAATGTCTGACAACATACGTATTCCACTGATAATTATTACATATAAAAGTCTCCTATAAAATTTATATTTTTATTAGCATACCAAGATACTTGACATTATTCTTCAAATATTAATTTCTCTAGTAATTAGTATTCTCTATCTCTTAAATTTTTCAGTTGTGTAAATTTTAACAGGAATATTAATGAACAGTTATCGTTTTTCTGTAATTATGCAAATGGATGCAGGTTTTTTATTTACCCTTAATTGTTTCGTGAATCGAAGCATATGTCGATATTTTTTGAAGCCTTCATTTGCATGCATTTAAGATGTTAATTGAATTAATATACTTACAACGAGAAAAATTTAAAAAAAGGCAACTTTGCAGGTTACATATTTCTATAGAAATTACGCATTTAGCGGTGCGATATTTTTCCATATGCAGCTTTTTTATTTATTCGAAAACTTTGAACATAATCGTGTTGGTCGTTTTACAAAGGTCGTTCTGCAACCCACTGCGCCATTTTCGCTATTTGTCTCGTAAAAATTCTACAATGAACGAATTGCAGAATCCGTGTACGGTATTTCCACCGTCTATCGACCATTTTTATCGTGTCGTTTTATTTATTTTAGTTTGGCGACATAAGCTGCGATATAAAATACATATACAATTTTATGACCGGTCACAATTTTTCTGGTTTTCTTTTTTTTTGCATAGCGAATTTGAGGTGGGTCCGCAGTCGCTTTATACAATTGTGATTTCGTGCAGTAAATTGCGTGTGCTTCCTTTTCTATGTGGTTTCGATTCGTCGTAGGTTCTAAGGTTTAATTTTGTTATAATTGTCATTATATTTATTTCTAGTATAATTCTATCATTAATCGGAATGTTCAAAAGTATCGATAAACACAAATTACCCTGCTCATTCAAAAGCTCGAGTTCCAAGTTCTTCTAACAATCAGTTATTCAAATACTTATTTAAGAAAGAAGTTCCTTCAAAATGAAAGATGCAAAACGTTATTCAGATATCCAGGTACAATGTTCATGTTTCTGATTGCACGTCCGCTTCTGAAATGTTGGCGAGCAGTGCACGGCAATGCGATTCTGAACAATATTGCATATCCATGAATCAAGCGTATCCATTCCGAGATATTGCTCCCTATTGCCTTGTGTATGATAATGCGAACCGATAGTACGAAATCACTTCGGAGAATCAATCAGCAGACGTGTCGTAAGCATTTGAACGCAGGCATAAGGCACGTTTGTACATTCGGGTGCAATGTAGGCTCCCGTTAGTTATGTGAAGCTACAGCAGAAGGGATGGGATATCCCTTAGGCTCTGGCTACATCTCAAAGCTTTCTCAAAGCTCATAGCAGGTTTCTAAACTTTTTCTAGCTTTTTTTGGATGGTTTTAGAACTTGGGGTAATCGGTGTTAGGTACCATAGGACTGGATTCTTTAGGAGTTTGGGGTTCTTTAGGGATTTAGGATCTTTTGGGGGTCTAGGTCTTTAGGGAGGGGTCTACGGTCTTTAGGGGTCTGGGATCTTAATGGGTTTGGATTCTTTAGGGAACTAGGATTTTTGGTGGTCTGGGGTTTTCATAGTTCTTGGGTCTTCTAGGGGTACTTGGGTGTTCTAGAGGGTCTTGGATCTTCTAGGGGGTCTTGGGTGTTCTGGAGGGTCTTGAGCTTTCTGGGGGGTCTTGGGTGTTCTAGAGAGTTTTGGGTCTTCTAGAAGGTCTTAGGTGTTTAGATGGCCTTGAGTCTGCTAGGGGGTCTTTGGTATTTTAGAGAGTCTTGATTCTCCTAGGGGGTCGCGATTTTTTAGGTTGGGTCTTGGTCCTCCCAGCAGGTCATGATTCTAGATTTTTCTCCTATTCTTGATTTTTATGTCATCAAACTTTTACCAATAGATCTACATCAATGATGAATTTCGAATACAGACTGCGAGTGAAAAACATTTTCAAGTACCCAAGTTTTGCACCTCTCCAAATTTTGAGAAAAGTATCCTCGTATCATAAAATTTGTTGAAACACACCCTGACGTCGGCAAGATATAATCGTTTAAAGATCATTGCGGCAAGACCCGAGTGATTTATGTTTAAAAGATTTATCATTCGTGACACAGAAATAATTCTGAAAATAATTTGTTCTCTCCCACACGTAACGAGCAACTTATGCCGCGTTATCGTCTCTCTAATTAATAGCGCACGGTTCGGGCAAAAATATAAAAGCCACCGTGCTCCTTTCTCCGCTCGAATAAGTCTGCCACCGGGCGTAAAAAATGATTCTTGTTGTTCGCTACACCGAAAGCGTTTATTTCCGTGCGCCACTAAATCTAAGGCTCCCGGAAGAAAGGAAGGAGCGTAATGACGGCGTACTTCGTCGAAACAATTCCGGTTATTCTCTTTTTCTTGTAGCCGGATAAGCTGAACACTCTCCGGCCACTTATCAGCAAGAAATTACTCGGTGAAAATCTTATTCCGCGTTTCCGATTGCATCGGAGAGTTGCTCGGCTGTAACTTATATATAACAGCCAGCAGCGAAACGGAACGCGGCTACGGCCAATTTACAATTAAATGACATTGTTGCATAACGGCACGCATAACACCGGCGTTAAATCGAACGGTTACGAATGATCGGTTTATTAGCACCAGACGCGTCTCTGGCACGCGTGTAAGCCGGGGATTTCAAACGAGACGACTTGCAATAAGGAAGCTTCTTGGAACGAGTTAGAGAAACTGTTAAACACGACAGCTCGTCGAGTTAAATGGGATTAGAGTGTTTCATACGTCGTAAGGTCAGCGTACGCTTCAACTGTCTTGATGACGCTCCGTACGAGTATGTTTCGAGTAATTGATGTGTTTATATGCGTCATACGATTGGTCGAGTGAGGTTTTCTCGGGAATGGCAATATAGCGAGAGAGTGACAATAGACGCGATTAGAGGGTGTTGTAGGTATGTACGACTTTCTTTCAGGATTTTTCCTTTTTGGAGGTTGATTTAGGGCTTTTAGGGAATTTGGAAAATTTGGGGGAGTTTTGGAATTTTGGGGAGTTTTGGGAATTTGGGGATTTTTGGACTTTGGGAAAGTTGGTGAATTTGCGGAATTCGAGGAATTATGGGAGTTTAGCGAGTTTGGGGAGTTTGGGGAATTTGGAGAATCTGCGAAATTTTGGGAATTATGAGAAATTTGGGAATTTGGGAATTTGGGAATTGGGGAATTGGGGCATGGGGGAATTGGGGAATTGGGGAATTGGGGAATTGGGGAATTGGGGAATTGGGGAATTGGGGAATTGGGGAATTGGGGAATTGGGGAATTGGGGAATTGGGGAATTGGGGAATTGGGGAATTGGGGAATTGGGGAATTGGGGAATTGGGGAATTGGGGAATTGGAGAATTGGAGAATTAGGAAATTAGGAAATTGGGAAATTGGGAAATTGGGAAATTGAGAAATTGGGAAATTGAGATATTGGGAAATTAGGAAATTAGGAAATTGGGAAATTGAGAAATTGAGAAATTGAGAATTAGGAAATTAGGAAATTGGGAAATTGGGAAATTGGGAAATTGAGAAATTGAGAAATTGAGAAATTGAGAAATTGAGAAATTGAGAAATTGAGAAATTGAGAAATTGAGAAATTGAGAAATTGAGAAATTGAGAAATTGAGAAATTGAGAAATTGAGAAATTGAGAAATTGAGAAATTGAGAAATTGAGAAATTGAGAAATTGAGAAATTGAGAAATTGAGAAATTGAGAAATGGGAATTTGGTAATTGGGGAATTAGGGAATTGGGATATTGGGAAATTAGGAAATTGGGAAATTGGAAAATTGGGAAATTGGAAAATTGGGAAATTGGGAAATTGGGAAATTGGGAAATTGGGAAATTGGGAAATTTGGGAATTTGGGAATTGGGAAATTGGGGAATTTGGAAATTTGAAAATGTGGGAATTTGCAAATTTCTTAAATTGAGAATTTAAAAACTTGAAATTCAGAAATTCAAAAATCCAAAAAAATTAAAGTTTCCTAACTTCAGAATCCTCAAATCTGAAAACTCAGGAACTCAAAGACCACTCTAAAAAAGCTCTCATA